GCACCGTACTACACTGTACTGCACCTTACCACACTATACTGCACCGAACCACACCACACTGTCCTGTACTGCACCGTACTACACTGTACTGCACCGTACTACACTATACTACACTGTACCACACTATACTACACCGTACCACACTATACTGCACCGTACCACACTATACTACACCGTACCACACTATACTGCACCGTACCACACTATACTGCACCATACCACACCACACTGTCCTGTACTGCACCTTACTACACTATACTACACTGTACCACACTATACTACACCGTACCACACTATACTGCACCGTACCACACTATACTACACCGTACCGCACTATACTGCACTGTACCACACTATACTGCACCGTACTACACCATACTGCACCGTACTACACCATACTACACCATACTACACCATTACTACACTACACCATGCTACACCACACTGTCCTGTACTGCACCGTACTACACTATACTACACCGTACTACACTCTACTGCACTGTACTACACTCTGCTACACCGTACTACACCACACTGTCCTGTACTGCACCATACTACACTATGCTACACTGTACTACACCATATCGTACCGCACTGTCCTGTACTACACCATACTACACTATACTACACCGTACTACACCACACTGCCCTGTACTGCACCGTACTACACCATATCGTACTGCACTGTCCTATACTACACCGTACTACACTATACTACACCGTACTACACCACACTGCCCTGTACTGCACCATACTACACTATGCTACACCATACTACACCGTACTGCAGTATTCTAAGGTACATTATACTACATATTGCTACATGGCACTACACTATACCATACTCCACTACACTACCCTATACTAGATTGTGTACACCATACCACAGTACACAATATTATACACCACACTACACTGTACCATGCTATACCATAATACATTATATGAGATTATACTACACTACACCACACTGTATAATACTATACTACACTATACTGCTCTATACTATACTATACCATTCTCTCCTATGCTACTTTTACTACACTGTACCCCAGCACACCATACCACACCGTGCCGTACCATGCTACTCTCTATTACACTACACCACAACATACATTCTACACTGTGCTATACTCCACTTCCTATACTACGTTACACTGCACCATGCTGCACTACATGATATTACACTGTATGACACTCTACTACACTGTACCACACCACACTGCACCATCATCCACCATAGTACACTGTATTATACTATATCATTCTACACTACATTGCTGTATACTACACCATACATACTACACCGTACCATACTATGCCATACTGTGTCATACTGCACTACTCTACATTACACTGCATTATGCTACGCTATACCACACTCTATTACACTATGCTACACCCTGCTACGTGGTACTGTGCTGTGCCATAGCACGCCGTACTGCACCCTGCTATGTCATACCACGCTGTGCCGTAGCACGCCATACTGCACCCTGCTATGTCATACTGCACGACACTATACAGGACCATACTCTGCATACTATGCTACACTGTACTATGCTCTACTATATACCACACTGGACTGATAAGTGTACTATACTATATTACTATACTCTATGGTGCCGTGTCATACTGTACTGCCCCTTGCTGCACTACATTGTACTCTATTACACTGTGGTACTCTGTGCTTAAGTATAGCACACTATGTCACACCATACTACATTACACTGCTCTTCTGTAGCATCTTAGGCTACACTACCTCGTACTACACTCTACTACATATACTACACCACACTATACTATAATATAAACGTAATACAAAAGCCATTTATTTTGTCATCGTGGCTGATTTGAGGTTCTCTCTCCTGTTTTCTTGGCCTACCTCTTGCTGCTGGCTATCTGCTATAAATAGTCGGTTTCTTTTATTCGTTAGGTGTTACTTTTCTGTAGAATGTAATAGTGGAAAAGATGAGAAAGCGCAGTCCCAGGGGAGGAGGGAAGCTGGAAGGCGACCCATGGTGGGCCCACCCAGGAGTCCGTGTGCTCGGAGCCAATATGCTTACCCGGACGCTGTATTGACTGCTTGTGGTTGAGGTGACTCAGGCTGCTTGCCCAGGCTTCCTTCACTGCCCTCTGCCCTGCCTCCTTTGGTGATGGTGAAGTGGCTTCAGGGTCCATTTCCTAGCCGGTGCAGGCGAGGGTCAGGGAGGTGGGGGAGCAGTGTACTCTTCCCTCCTGCTCCTCCCCTAACGGTTGTGGTGGAGGGTCTGTGAGGGCACATACACCAGCTACCAGGGGCTCTTGGCACTGCTGCAGGCTCTTCCAGCAGATGCCAAGGCCCCATGACAACCAGACTCTGCTAATACAGCATGGGGTCCTGAGGCCCTCACTGTTCCCTGAGATTTTACTTCCCAAGGACACCGTGGGCACCCTGCTCACTGTGCCAGAGAAGCATGGCCTCTGTGTGGTCTGGCCCCAGGTACCACATCTACAATGTGAATGAGCAGAACCCTGGCTTCCAGGAGCCCCGCGCTGTCTTCTACACAGCCCAGATCGTCAGCGGCCTGGAGCACCTGCATCAGAGGGGCATTGTCTACCGAGACCTCAAGCCTGAGAACGTACTTCTAGACGATGACGGTGAGGTGGCCTCCCCTCTCAGGTTCCCCTCACCCAGTCTCCCCCACTCCCCATTTCTCCTCCTCCCAGCTTCCCCTCCTGGCCTCCTCCTGCCCAGACTCCCCTTGCCAGGCTCTCCTCCGTGGCCCAGTGGATCTTTGGTAGGAGGATAGGCTGGTTCCTCTTTCTGCCTTTTGAGGAATTCTCATCAGAAGGTAGCAGAGATCTAGGTTTTCTTTCTGTCCCTTGGACACCCTCCCTTTGTGTCACTAAGTCATGCAAACGTGGGACATTCTTGAAACGGTTTTGGGTGGATTGTGCCTCCAATCACAGTGGCGGGTGCTGCTGGGGCCCCTCTGTCCCTCTGTAGTCTGGCTGGGAGGGCAGAGGCCTCAGGGCCCTGGGGTGGGCGTGTGCTGCACGTGCGTGTTCGTGGGCACGTGTGTGTGTGTGCAGAGGCTGCCCTTGGCTCCTGCAGGCTCGGGGAACACCAGGTGCCTTTGTTCTGTGGGGCTGCATGTGACCTCAGCCCATGTTTGTTTTTAGGCAATATCCGAATTTCTGACCTTGGGCTGGCTGTGGAGCTGAAGGACGGGCAGACCAAGACCAAGGGCTATGCGGGCACCCCAGGTTAGCACCTGAGATCAAGGCTGGGGGCAGCCTCTTTTGCAGGGGGCAGGGAACGAGGCTGTAGGGGTCCTTGGGGGTCCCTATCCCTCATAGCAAGTAGTAGAACCACTGGGTGTGGCCAGTGGATGTGCCTCTGGCAGCTGACACCCACTGGCAGGGGTGATCCCTCCCATCTTTTGGTTCTGGCTTGCCACCGCCTCTGTGATGGGAGCTTCTGCCTTCAGTGGCTTCCTGGACATTAGCAGAGTGTGTTTGTCTGGAGTGCCCAGCCCTGTTGGTTGGAGCCCCGAGGATCTGCAGTGGATCACCAGCTGTACCCTCAACTGTACTAACACCACCCCCAAGGTGGGCAGACTGGGAGAGCTGTGAGGGGTACCCAGCCCCCACCGCCATGTGGCCAGGGCCTTCGCTGTTCAAGGGAGTCCAGGGTGGGCTGTGAGGCAGGTGGGGGTGACCCTGTAGGAGAGGGGGCTGCCGTGTCCAGTATGTGTGCGTGTGTGGGTGCATGCACACGTGTGTCTGTGTGTTTGCATGTGTATGCGTCTATGTGCATGCGTGTGCGTGCATATGTGTGTCTGTTTGCATGTGTATGAGTATGTGTGTGCACGTGCACGTGTGTCTGTGTGTTTGCATGTGTTTGCGTGTGTGCACATGCACACGTGTGTCTGTGTTTGCATGTATATGTGTCCGTGTGTGCATGTGTGTGTGCATGCACAACACGTTCTGCTGCCCCCCCCACCTCCACTCAGCCCAGGCGGGGAGGGAAGAAGCCCTGCAGACAATAGAGGGGACCCTCCAGAGTTGGGGTGGACACAGCAGGCAGCCCGGACTGCCGGGGGAGCTCAGTGCCACGATGCTGCCTCTGGTCTGCGGGCACCTGGGGTTCAGTCCCCTGCCCCTCCATGTTCTGGAAGGTCCAAGGATTCTTAGCAAATGCCTCCCTGGGTTGATTTGGCTTTGAGGAGAAACTGCTGCCACTGGGATTTGGGGCCACTTGGACCTTGTTTTGTGTCTCCGGATCCTCCTGTCCTGTGCTCTGGGCCCTTTTTGGATTTGTCCCTGCGGCTCTGTCCTCATCTGGGGCTTCATTTAGGGAAGGTCCTTCCTATCTGAGTTTTCCAGATTCTTGTCCAGAATCTATGAAGTTCCTGCTCTGAGTGCGACCGTGTGAGTGGAAACACTCCTCACATATTTTAGGGTGATTCAGATCATTAGGAGAAAGCCCCAGAGAATAAGGCACAACTGGCTAGATTCCAAGTAGTCCGACTCTGAGTGTGAGGGCCCTGCCGGCCGCCAGAGGGCCCCCCAGGTTTCGCTGTGGCCACTGCCTTTCTCTGAGCAGAGGAAGCAGAGGACGCATCTTTTGAGCATTTGGGGTCAGGTGCAGGGTGTGACCTGCAAAGAGACGCAGTAGATGGGAAGGTTAGGGTATAGGTTGGGGTGCAGCGTACTGTGTCCCTCTCCCTGGCCTCCCTGCACCCTGCCTGCTGGAGCCCCTGCAGCCGAGGCCCTGCACACAGTCAGTGAGCCATGATCGGGCACAGAGGGGCTGTGAGTGTGCCTTCTGAACCCACAGGGTTTCCAGCCCGGACATGGGCCTGGGGCCACGTGGGGAGGAATTAATAACTAGACTGAGGAGTGTTCACTCACTCATTTATCTGCTCACTCACTCACCTGCTCACTCACTCCTTCACTCACTCACCCACTTACCAGATCACTCACTCACTCAGTCACCCACTCACCTGCTCATTCACTCACCTGCTCTCTCACCCACTCACCTGCTCAATCACTCACTCACCCACCTGCTCGCTCACTTACTCATTCACTCACCCACTCACCACTCACCTGATCACCCACTCGCTCAGTCACCCACTCACCAGATCTCTCACTCACTCACTCACTCACTCACCCACTCACCCACTCATTCACTCACCCACTCACTGGATCACTCACTCACCCACTCACCTGTTCACTCACCTGCTCACTCACTCATTCACTCACTCACCCACTCACCGGATCACTCACTCACTTACCCACTCACTGGATCACTCACTCACCCACTTGTTCACTCACCCACTCATTCATTCACTCACCTACTCATTCATTCACTCACCAGATCACTCACTCACTCACTCACCTGCTCACTCACTCATTCACTCACTCACCCACTTACCTGCTCATTCACTCACCCACTCACCTGCTCACTCACCTGCTCACTCACTCATTCACTCACTTACCCACTCACTGGATCACTCACTCACCCACTTGTTCACTCACCCACTTGTTCACTCACCCACTCATTCATTCACTCACCCACTCATCCATTCACTCACCCACTCACCGGATCACTCACTCACCCACTCACCTGCTCACTCACCTGCTCACTCACTCATTCACTTACTCACCCACTTACCTGCTCACTCACTCATTCACTCACCCACTCACCTGCTCACTCACTCACTCATCTGCTCACTCACTCACCTGCTCACTCACTCATTCACTCACTCACTCACCTGATCACCCACTCACCTGCTCACTCACTCATTGGCTCACTCACTCATTCACTCGTTCACTCACTCAGTCACTTACTCATTCCCTCACTCAGTCACTCACCTGCTCGTTCAGGTGACAGACGTTTACTGGTGTTTACTTTGTCCCAGGTGTCATGTAGGTCCTCGGGATACAAAATGATGTGTTACCCAGATTGAGTTGGAGAGCAGACCAGAGGCGCCACTGGGGTGTTTGCTGCAGAAATGGATCCCCTCCCTGTGGCCTGCTGTGCCTTTCTCCCGGACCCTGTTTTAATCTAGAAGTGGTGGGCTGTTAGACATGTCTTTCTTACAGCATCTGAGCCATCTGAACAATAGTGCAATTCCTGGAAAAGGGGACCTACAAAGGGGGGAAGGGATGCCGGGGCCAGGAGGGTCTATGGAATTTCACACCTGCGACCTCTAAGGGGAGGAGTGAGTCTGTGGTCACATCAGCTTGACTGCTGTTGCTGAGCACATCCCCTCTTGGAGACTGGCTGTGAGCATGGTGTATCGAGGGCCAGGAGGGACCAGAAATCAACAGACACGTTAGCTTTCCTTCCTCAGAATGTCTGAACCCGTCAGGCACAGAAGTCACCCGTGCCCCAACTCCCCGAATGTGGCACAGATCTGGCAGTGGTGGGCGTCTGGACAGCTCTTTGGGGTGTGTTGGCTTAAACTGGTCCTTCTGTGCCCTTTTGGGAAGGGGCCAGTACTGCCTGACCACACACACCTACGACGCCACGGGTCACCGTTGTGCCTGTCTGCCGTGGCGTGCCCCAGGGAGATGGAGCTTCACAGCTTATGTGAGGAAGCTGCTTAGCCAGGGGCAGTTTTGCCCGAAAGAGACACTCAGCAATGTCTGGAAACATTTTTGGGTGCGACAACTGGGGGGCTCCAAGTACTGGTGTGGGCCGGGATGCTGCTCCCCACCGCGTGGTGCACAGGGCAGCCCCACCACAGAAGGGACAGGGCGAGGAGCCCACAGCCGTGCATGTGGCGCTGTCTGTCACGTGCCTGCCCGGGCAGGGTATGTGCTCACCACCAGGCCCTGCGTCTGACGGAGTCTGTGCGCGGTTCTTACCTGGCAGGTTTCATGGCCCCCGAGCTGTTGCGGGGCGAGGAGTACGACTTCTCTGTGGACTACTTCGCCCTGGGCGTCACGCTGTATGAGATGATCGCAGCCAGAGGGCCCTTCCGTGCCCGAGGAGAGAAGGTAGGAGGTCACTCAGCATGTGTCCGGCAGCCGCTCTGTGACCACCCTCCGTGTGGCAGCTGCTGTTCAGGCCTAGAGACGAGGCTTCTTGTGGTAAATCCTTCTGGGCAGGAGAGGGGACACGGTGTCCTCATCTCATGGAGCCTCCCACAGTAGGATGCATTTCAGGACCAGCCGTGCCTGGACCTCCCCAAACCCAGCCCCACGAGCAGCCCGCAGCCCCCCACCCAGGCCAAGCCAGTCCCTCCCCCGCTTCGTGCTTCTACTGCAGACCAGCGAGCCCTCCGTCTGGTCCGTCAGCCTTTCTGAGTAGGGGGCAGTGGGCATCGCATCGCTGTGCCCTGACCCCGGGGCCCCATGCCCGCCTCCTGCACTGTCTGCCCCAGAGTCTAGTAGGGGGTGCTCCTGGTACAGCCCCCAGAGCCACAAATACAGGCTCACCTTGGAGACCTCTCGGGTCCAGCTCAGACCACTACAATAAGGCAGATGCCATGGTCAAGCGAGTCAAATGAACTTCTTGGTTTCCCGGTGCACATAACAGTTATGTTTACAGCAAGCTGGAGTCTCCTGAGTGTGCAGTGGTGGTGTGTCTAAAAAATCGTCGGTGTACCTTGATTAACAAACACTTGATAGCTAACCGTCCTCAGGGTTTTCAGTGAGTTGTGATCACTGGCTGCAGATCACCGTAAAAATTGTAGTAATAATGAACACGTTTGAAATATCGTGAGAATCACCAGAATGTGACAGAGACATGAAGTGAGCACAGGCTGTGGGAAAAATGGTGCCGACAGACTCGCTCAAGGCAGTGTTGCCGTAAACCTTCCATTTGTGAAGATGCAGTTTTCTCGAAGCACAATGAAGAGGTGTGCCCATAGACGGCATCTGGGGGGCCTCATCTGCTGTTCCGATCAAACAGAGAAAAGCCAGCCTCTTCTTGCCGGGTGGTGCGGGCGGCTCCGAGGCACGGCGGTTGGCCGGGTGTGAGGAACCAGGGCCAAGGGGGCATCGCGGGGCCGTGTAAACAGTAGTCTGTAGACGCATCCGGAGGTCACGCCCTTCACTTTCTTCTGTGGGGTCTCCTAGTGTGTCCGTCTGCAGGCCCACTCCGGTCCTGGGACAGCTGTGAGAACAAACCACGTCCCCAGTCTTCCGAGAGCAGAGGGTCTCACGAGGCTAACACGTAGCTGCGCCGTGTCTCCGCACGTCCGCCCTGACTCTGCTCACCCGCTCTCTCTCCTGACTTGCAACCGCTCGGAAGAACAAGATGAGGCAACGTGGTGTGGGACCATGCGTAGGGGCCCGGCCTCGGGCCACAGGAGAGGCCCCAGCGCAGAGCGCTCACTGACCACGGCCTGACCAGAACCCCGGTTTTCTGTGTGTGAATGAGCCTGATGCGCTCAGGCAAGAAGCACATGGCGGCCCACCGTGGCTCCTTGTCTCACGGCCTGCAGGAGGGCGAGGGTCAGAGCCGGAGAGTAACTGTGGGTGGGCCCGTTGCGGTGCAATTTGAGGAAAGGCAAATCTAACGTGTGGTGAGAGCAGACGGCCAGTGTTCCCCGAGCCGCGGTGGTGACGGGCTGCAAAGAGCACAGGGCGCGTCTGGGGTCCTCGTGGGGCTCCCTGCTGACTGTCCAGGCCCTTCACGCCGTCCCTGGGAACGGGCTTCTGCGGTATGTGGATTATACTCCGTAAAGCGGACGCAGTCAGGCACCACAGACTGGCTGTTAGTACCTATCAGGAGACCTGTGCCCGCTCGGTCTATAAGTCGGCTCTTTGTCACTTTCCTGTTCTCTCGGAGGGGGATGGATGGTTCCGTCAACGCACCCAGGCCCCGACCAGAGCTCCCCAGGCCCCACACCCCACCCTTGACCAGCACCGTCAGGGCTTCGCTCCTCGGACTGCAGGAGCCCTTTACAATACTCACATGCTGGGGTGGGGGGCACACACTCAGGGCCGCGCCACCTCCGCCCCTCACCACCTCTGCCCCTCACCTGTGCCGTCACCTCCGCCTTCACCTCCACCCCTCACCTCCGCCCCTCACCTCCACCCCTCACCTCCATCCCTACCTCCATCCCTCACCTCCGCCTTCAACTCCACACCTCACCTCCGCCCCTCACCTCCATCCCTCACCTCCGCCTTCAACTCCACCCCTCACCTCCGCCCCTCACCTCCATCCCTCACCTCCGCCTTCAACTCCACCCCTCACCTCTGCCTTCACCTCAGCCCCTCACCTCTGCCATCACCTCCATCCCTCACCTCCACCCATCACCTCTACCCCTCACCTCCATCCCTCACCTCTGCCCCTTACCTCCACCCCTCACCTCTGCTGTCACCTCCACCCCTCACCTCCATCCCTCACCTCCACCTTCACCTCCGCCCCTCACTTCCACCCCTCACCTCTGTGGTTACTCCACCTGCCACCCCGCCTGTCACCTCTGCACCTCACCTCCGCCTTCACCTCCACCCCTCACCTCCACCTCTCACCACTGCCCCTTACCTCTACCCCTCACCACTGCCCCTCACCTCCGTCCCTCACCTCCGCCTTCACCTCCACCCCTCACCTCCACCTCTCACCACTGCCCCTCACCTCTGCCGTCACCTGCACCCCTCACCTCCGCCCCTCACCTCCACCCACCACCTCCGCCCGGGGTCTTCCCAGGAGGTGGGCTGGCCAAGCCGGGCACAGACCTCTGTGGGCTCAGCGGGCTTCACGTGACATGGCGTGTCCTGCTGTGTAGGTGGAGAACAAGGAGCTCAAGCAGAGGATCCTCTCTGAGGCGGTCAAGTACTCGGACCAGTTCAGCCAGGCCAGCAAGGACTTCTGCGAGGCGCTGCTGGAGAAGGACCCTGAGAAGCGCCTGGGGTTCAGAGACGGGACATGTGATGGGCTCCGCGCCAACCCCCTCTTCAAAGATATTAACTGGAGACAGCTCGAGGCTGGTACGTCCACATGTCTTTGGACCTGGGGGGCTGTGGGGAAGGCTGGGTCCATCGGGAGGTCCAGGCCTGGGTGTTAACATACAGGGTTCTTGGGCTGGTGGAGGCTGGATGGGATGCGTGGGGGACATGCTGTTTACCTTTGAACTGAGGAGCCAAACCCGCTGCCGTGAATTTCTATGCCCATACTTTTAAGGAGCCCCTGACCCGAGACTGTGCAGAATTCCTCCAGCTGTCCGCTCGGGAGAAACTTGTTCATTCAACCAGCATGTGTTGTCAGGTGTTGCGTTTGGAATGCTGCACACAGGTGCATGTGTGTGGACATGGCCCCACCCCCAGAGCCTACAGGAGGCCGTGTGAACACGGGACTCCCTGCAGGGGCCCAAGGAGAGAAGTTACACTTTCATGGAAGGGGCTCTGCTTGGGGAAGCCAGGAGCCGGGAGAGGCTGGGGCTAGGGTGGGTCCCAAGGCCACTGCACGGGTCTGGCAGGATGCTCAGCCCAGGAGCCGCACGGAAGGGAAGGGCACTGGGGCCGATGGGGATCACGTGGCCGGCATTCTGTATCTGGTGACTAAGGCACCAGGGCTCCTGAGCAGGTTGGGAGAGAAGCCAGCTTTGGAAAGAAAACAGGGAGCTCAGTCCTGAGGCTGCTGGGTTCGAGGTGTCCCACCTGCAGACAGTGAAGCCCCCCCGGGAGGCTGGCGTGAGGACGCGGGTCAGACAACACCATCCTTCGCCATGCGCCCCCGGGGAAGTGCATCCAGCCTGGACGCTGAGTCCCTTGCGTCTTGTTCAGCGGGCCGTGGGGCACCTGGAGACCTTTCTTGAGCCGTCGGGACACCCTGGGCTGGGCGACCCTGCTCACTGAGCACACGGCTGTTCCCTTCCATTCACGCATCATATATCCTGTGCTCTCTCTCCTCACAGGGATGCTGACGCCTCCCTTTGTCCCGGACTCCAGGACGGTCTATGCCAAGAACATCCAGGACGTGGGCACCTTCTCCACCATCAAGGGCGTGACCTTCGACAAAGCCGATGCGGAGTTCTTCCAGGAATTCGCGACTGGCAATTGCCCCATTCCCTGGCAGGAGGAGATGATCGAGACGGGCGTGTTCGCAGAGCTGAATGTGTGGCGCTCTGATGGGCAGATGCCCGATGACATGAAGGGGGTTGCTGTGGAGGAGGCAGCCCCGGCATCCAAGTCAGGGATGTGTCTGGTTTCCTAAGTGTGTAGGAAAAGGGAGCTCTGTGGCCCATAGGGGTGAAAGCACCTGTGTGAGTCGCTGGGCTCCCGCAGCGCTGTCAGGGGACAGGCAAGGAGTGGACAGATGTCTAGCCCGTAAATAGTCCACTTCCTTTGCCCCATTTCACTCAGAAAGACACAACAGTGGTTCCCAGATGGACTAGAGCGCCATGCACAACTCAAGGACTCTTGTGGGCATCCCAGCCAGCAGCGGTGTGTGCCGCCGGGGTGAAGGGCTGCTCATACCAGAGGATGCTCCGTGTGTGTTCCTGGCAGCTTCCCAGAGCCCTGCCCTCGGTGGGAGGCCATCTCCTGGCTGGCTCAGGGGTTGGCAAACCATGGCCCGTGGGCTCATGGGCACCAGCAGAGAGGCCTGGGTTGCGCCCAGCTTCTGGCCCCCCGAGCCGGTCACCCTCTGCATGTTGGTGATGCTGGCATCTGCCAGGTGCTGAACGGTGCAGGCTCCAAGGGGTTGCCTTGCCCGGGCTGGGGCCCAGGTGTCCCAGAAGAGGGGAAAGTGTGGGGCGGGGGGGCAGTGAGAGTGACCACAGCAGACTGCCCCTTGGCTTCTCTTTGTCCTGAGAACATCTCCAGCTGATGGCCCCTGGCCCCAAAGCTGCCCGCCTCCTGGGCAGATAGGTGTGCGGGAATTCTCTGCCCACCCCGAGCACCTGCTTACCACGCGACTCTGCCTCCCGGCAAAGCCCCTTCTCAAGCTCCTCTCCTGGGCAAGCTTGGGGCAGGCTGGCTGATGGCCGGGGACAGGCCGTCCCCGGATCCCCACCAGCAACAGCATCTGCAGTGGGGTCCTCACCCTTACACAATGTGCCCTCCCTCTGGCCTGAAGCCCCAAGGCACCGTCCTCACCAGCTCCCATGTTTCCAGCTTCACCTTTAACCTCGAAGTTTCCCAAATGCTTTACACATTCTAATGGGAAGAACACTGTAGAGGGGCCTCTGACGATGTTCACTCCTATGTTGGGATTTGGTGGCGTTGGCCTGGGAATCCCATACTGCTCTGAGGGCTCCGGTGGGACCAACCCCGGGGAGGAGCTGTGGTTTAGGGCCTGTGGAGTACTTTCCAGGAGGATGTGTTCCTCTCCTGGGGAAGAACTTCTGAGTCCCTGCAGCTCACACATGTGTCACGTGCTGGTCCAGGCAGAGAGCCACGTGATGGGGCTGTGAGATGCCGGTTGTATGTGGGGATCACATGGGAAGACGGTGTCATTTAACTATCTGGGGGGGTTGATGTGGGGACCTGCGAGGGAGCACGAAAGACAGGGTCCTACCCCGTTCTAGTCCCTGTGCTGGGCTCACAGCCTCCTTTCCCAGCTGCCTCAGGAGAGCCTACCCCAGGTGTGTGGGGCATCCCTGCCCTCAGACTGTTAACCCCAGGTGTGCAGGGCACCCCCACCCTCAGGCCATCAGCACAGAGTGTGCGGGGCATCCCCGCCCTCAGACCGTAAGCACCGAGTGTTTGGGGGGCCATTGCCCTCATCCCCGTGTGTTTAGGGCTGTGTTACCTGCAGACGTCCGCATCTGGTCCGCTCCGCCCACCCTCAGGGGAACAGGGGCTCTGCAGCCCACAGCCCTGGAGGGTCACTGCTCGGGACCCTCCCTCCTGCTTGGTTCAGGGCCGTGCAGGACGACGCCGTGTCCCCAGCCTCATGTGTGGCACACGGTTGTTCGGGGTGCAGCAGCCGGCAGGGGGTGGAGAGAATCGTGTGTGTTCTTCAGAAGATGTTATGCACGTGAAGCCTCTGCCTTGAAAGCACCCTTGGACCAGAAAGATCCTTGTGTCCTGGCCGTGTGCGTGGCCCACCAGAGGCAAAGAATGCTCCGGATGGGCCTGGAGAGGTGTCCAGTGCTTTCTGGCGTGTGACCTGGAAGTGCCCCTTGGCACGTCCCTGCAGGCGACCTAGGACCAGGGACAAGCTGCTGCGCCCCCCTAAACCAGGACGGTGCACATCAACTAGGTAATGGCCGACGTGTCACTTCTCTACATTTTGGAAAAGAAAGACCTGTTTCTGGCTTTTCTAAACCCATAGAATCTGTCCTAGGTCCCCCCTGGACAGAGTGATTCCAGCAGCCATGTGGTTGGAGGTCTGCCCTCCCCGCCGGCCTGGAGCCCCAGCATCTGGCCTCGGGGCCCCGTCTGCCTGGACCACCAGATAGAACAGGGTGTCCGGTGCACCTGGATTTCAGATGAACAGCAAATACTGTTTTTAGTGTGTGTCCCAAATATCGCAGGGGCTGCACGTAGATTCAAATTATGCAGTGTGGTTTGCCAGATCTGCCGTGCCTGTTGCAGATTATAGATGTCATGTGTCAGTAAGTAGCTGGTTACTCCACTGAACTAGCGGGTCTGGTGGAGGTAACCATGACTTGGGCTGTCTCTCAGTGTGTCCAGAGCAGTCTTTGCCCCAGCGCCCCTACCCCCTGCTCCCCCATCTAGAGGCGACCCTGCACACACTTTATCGGTCTCAAGGCGCTGATGTGAGACGCCCAGCGCTTGTGGACATTGCAGCTCCTATGGGATGCTTCCACCCTCCCCCTGAGCGCTCCTGGGGGTCCAGTTGGGGGGATGGTCAGTGCTTGGGGGTTTCTTCACTGTCTCAGGGGATCTCTGCTATGGGTGGTCTTCCAGGCACAGCCCCCCGACCTGGCACAGTCCCAGGGGTCTTGCTGTCCCACACGCATGCCGGTCCTCCGCTCAGCTGTGGCCTGGGGCCAGGGTACACATCGCCCGTCCTGGACGCTCAGCCTCGGGAGGCCGTCAGGACCTTTGGGTCGCCTGCCGGCTTGTCTCTGGCTTGGGGGCTGCCCACACTAGGCTGAAGGGGGGATCCCCTGCAGAGAAGCTGTCCTCACTGCCCCCACTGTGTCCTGCACGCCACAGCCGCCAACGGTCTTCAGAAAATGGCCTCGACACCCCCACAGGGTGGTGGCCTCAGCACTTGGGTGTAGCCTGGCAAGAATCCCCTTCGTGGGGTGGTGGGGGGAGGGTTGTCCAGACATGCGCCGTGGTGGCCAGGCGGCAGAGGGACCCTGGAGATCCTGGGACCAGAAGGTCCCAGTGCAACTTTTTGTTTGTAAAAAACAAAAAATGCAGTTTCTATTCAAGCAGAAAAAGGCAAAAATAAAAGGTAAACGGAGGATGGATTCTGGATTATGTTTATGGTATGAATACTTGTTATGTTCCTTCAAAGTCACACACGTCTATGTGCATACGTGCACACATATAGCTAGGCAGACACGCCTGTGCACACGTGCACACACAGGTACACACTCGCACACATGCAGATACACGCGTGCACACACAGGTACACACTCGCACACATGCAGATACACGCGTGCACACACACTCGCATGCACACACGTGCACACATGCAGATACACATACACACGTGCACACACTCGCACGCACACACATGCAGATACACGCGTGCACACACTTGCACGCACACACGTGCACACATGCAGATACACATACACACGTGCACACACAGGTACACACACATGCAGATACACACGTGCACACTTGCATACAGGTACACACTTGCATACACGCAGATACACGCGTGTGCACACACTCGCACACACGTGCACACATGCAGATACACACGTGCACACTTGCATACAGGTACACACCGGCATACATGCAGATACACATACACACGTGCACACACACAGGTACACACGCATGTGTATATACACTTGCACACATGCTTATATACACGTGCACACACGTGCAGACATGCACACACACAATCTGCCTTTCATCTCTTTATGACTATCGGATTTTAAAAATTGCTTGCAGTGCCCCTCTTTGTCAGACTTTGAATTCCCAGGCACCTGGATTTGCACACCTCTACCTGGGCCCCTATCATGGTGCGTCGTGTGGCTTTGGTCTGCTACTCACAGTGGTTAGAGTGTTTACAGGTGTAGTCCTTTCCTTTCCACACAGCTGTTTGAGACACTGCTTAAGCAGGTGGCATTGTGGCTGCCCTGGACAGAGGTGGACCAGAGGCCATGCGGGGCGGTGCTGATGGACACAGTGGCTGACAGAGGCCGGGCAGGACGAGCCGCGCTGCGTGCAGGGAAGTGCAGGTGCCGAGTGTTGTACGAGACGCTGCAGAGAAGCATGGGGGCCGTGTCTTTCTCCCGTCTGGGCTCTGCTGTGCACCTGTTGCATGCTGCTCCCATGCCATGCTGTGCCCACATCTATGACAGGTGCTGAGACGCCCGTCCACCTGGGCGTGCACATACTTCCTCCATGGCCATGCATGACCCAGCACCCGTTGTAAATTAGGCTAGAACCTTTTTCTGCTCGTCTCCATGCAGGGCCCTAGGAGCCCAGGATGAAGAGGGCCCCAGATCAGCGGGGCTGTCGTGGGGGCTCATGGCAGCTGGTCTGGCTGTCCTTACTCCTGTGGGTGCCACCAGCAGCGGTGTCCTTGATGGTCACTCTGCCTTTGCAGGGAAGGCTGGAGTGGGACTGCACGTCACCCAGAGGGCCGGGAACATAAGCCACCTCCCCATTTCAGGACAGCATGAAGCCGGCTCTGGTTCTGGGCATGGTGGGCTCTCATCCTCCCCCCGTGGCACCTGCGAGGGCGGCGCACAGGACACACCTAGGAAAGCTGAGGCTGGAGAGGAGGAAGCAGCCGGCTGACCCGGACTGAGGAGGACACCTTCTGCCTCCCGGGACCCAGGCCAGGCAGCAGAGAGGCTGCCACGGGCACAGAGGAAAGCGGCCCTGGGAGGAGGGGCCCTCCAGCCACAGGGCCATGAGGGAACCAGCCCCGGGAGGCAGGGCCCATCGGCAGCAAGGGACCCCCACAGCCCAGCCCCAGCACACCAGCAAGGCTGAGTGGGTCCTGGACCTCCACCCTCCCTCAGCTGTGACAAGGTGCTGCGTGCCCCCACCGTGCGGTGCTGAGGGGCGGGGGCTGAGCTTTTGTCCCCACCCCGCGGGAACGAGTCC